GCCCCAATGAAGTGATGACAGTTCCAAGATGTCAAGCATGAAGATCTCGTTCCCTGTACTTGTTTGCTAATACAGGTATTTTGGTCTTTGAACCCTGCACTAGCCTGAAGAAACGAGAGATCACGTGGAAGTGTGTCCCGAGGCTGGTGTCATCATTCAGAAGCTTGCCTGTCGTATAGAAGAGGATGGTGGGGCTGCACTGGTTGCTGATTATGGTCATGATGGAACCAAAACTGACACTTTCCGAGTAAGTAATTTACCCTGAAATCAGAAGCCAAAATACTCTGTTATATTTTATTTGTCACTTGGATCATTAGGTTCTTTGGGGGGGGGGAAGGGGAGAAAAGGTCTTGGGTGGACATAATAGTGAAAGCTGCATTATGCTGCAATCAAAAGTGAGTTCTTAATGAATCAGTACCCATAAGGGTTTCTGTCAGATGGAGAGGATACTCTGAGCCCTTGCTCCATTTATCTCAAATTTCCAAAGTATAGCTCGCTATTCTCGCCCCTCACGCACACAGCTTAGTCTTTGCTAGCCCCAGCTATGGGAGCTGGGAGCACAGCTGAGCGTAACCTTCCAATGTCATTTTTCAGGGCTTCCAGAATCACAAACTTCACGATGTGCTGAGTGCTCCAGGTACAGCAGACCTGACAGCAGATGTTGATTTCAGCTATCTTCGAAAGATGACACAAGGAAGAACAGCCACGTTGGGCCCCATAAAACAGCGGGAGTTTTTAAAAAACATGGGCATTGACCTCCGATTGCAGGTACAATAGTGTTTACAGGTCCATAAACTCTCCTGCTCCACAAGCAGTACTCTTAAGCAGCAAGAGAGCTTTTGTAAAAATCTCATTTTAAAAGAAAGTTGTTCAAAAGAACATCTAGGTGCAAGATCAGAGAGTTGCTTCTCCTAGACATAAGTTACTCTGGATCCCTCCAAGTAAACCGTTTGTATTCTATTTAGGAGTATTTAATGCAAAACTTTGCTACATACATCAATGTATGAGCTGTACCAGGGACCTTCCCCAGTTCTAGTGAACACTGTGGCACTGTTACACTAGTGTAAGTGAAAAGGATGCAACAAGGGAGGGCCAGTATGAGGGAATTTATAGGAAAGCAGGAACGGGCTATAACCTACTTTTTTTTTCCCCCCTAGGTGCTCTTGCAGAATTCACGCGACACAGCAACTCACAAGCAGTTACTGCACAGCTATGACATGCTGATGAATCCCAAGAAAATGGGGGATCGTTTTAACTTTTTTGCCCTCCTGCCTCACCACAGACTTGCACATCCCGACAAGAAAGATCAGCCAGAATCAAAGGCTCCCTCACCGCCTGTCGCTGGATTTGGCGAACTCTTACTGAAGTAACTTCAAATACTGTAGCAAAATGTCTGATAGTAGTAGCTTTCAAAAGCAACTTATTAAATAAAAAAACCCAAACCCAAGTAGAGTCCTGCATTTTATGGTTTCATGTAGTACATGTTTTGCAATAACATAATCAGCATGTAGCTACATACATAGTAAGCTAAGAACTAAATATTTTAATTTATCTTTGAACTGAAATTATATGAAATGTCAAATCCCTTCTCCAGGCAATTTTCTCACACCAACTTGTGCTTCAGGGCCTAGCCCCATTTTGGTAGGGAGCGCTATTTCAGAGTAAGTCTAGTGCAGAACACTACACCTGTTGACTGACCTACTCCAAGCAGCACATGTAGAAATCAAATACTGCCCTTAGAGCAACCAGTGTACACAGAGCAGAAAATGAACTATTTTTAGGGGTCTTACACTAGAGCTGAGTGAGGTATTTACTAGTGGAATCAACTTAAAACTTTTCAGTAACAAACAGATGTGTTAAGGAGACCTTAAATTTACTCAGCGTTGGTACTTGCTTAAAACAGAAGATGCCTTGACATTTTTGAAGATATTTTTATAAAGAGAATGGTGACAGGAACCATGCAAGAAGAGTTATTAATTCCAAAGCACCTGCTAACAGATTTCCCTAATGACAAATCCATTTACTTCTAAGAACATTTGCAAGGAAAGATAGTTCATGTAAATAAAAAGAACAAGTGTGATAGGGAAATAAATTTTATTTTCAAGCTTATCAGAGGATATTTACAAACAATGGGATATATAAAAATATAAAAGTACTTGACAGTGTCCTTTGGAGGCTATAAATTTTACATGGAGCTTTTTTCTAGCATCATCATAGCACTATTTCTTGAATGAATGCAACTTAGTTCATCTAGGGGTAAGGATATTGAAACACTGTAACCTACTGCTGTCAAAGTTTGCAGTAAAGGTAGGAAAAAAGGGAATAAAAAACTCAGCTATTTTTACTACTCTGAAGAAAGTTTACTCCTAATGTATGTCAGATGTTTCAGTTCCTTGACTAGTAGCTGCTTGTGGCTTCTGTCTGGCCCCATAAGTCTGCGTCTATGGTCAGGCAATCTCCTCCAAAGGCCAACAGCATTTTATTTTATTTTTTTTTAATACAGTTTGAAGAATAAATAGCTCATATAATATTTTGGAGCAGAGCAGACTTCATGGGGAGAAACATCAGCCAGGCCTTCTACTTCATTGTTGTCCCCTCCTTCCTCTGTTCCTGTTGTGCTTTTTCAAGTGACTGCGCTGGCTTTTTTTCCTCCCTTAAAACAATACAAACAAACAAAAAACCCACAGGAAAACCTGAAGTGACAGCTCAAGTATAAAACCTGAAGTTTAAAACGAGACTGCATCAATGTTGCTACGGTTAGCATGGAAGATAGCAATGGCATCACTGAAATTTCGTCCTGCTTCCCTTGCCAAGCTTGGGCAAATACTAGACTACCAGCCTCAGAGGTGATGGTTCTGGTTCCAAAGATGAAAAATAGTGCCTCTCTGAAGAATCAGTCCTGGACCCCTGCCTTTGCGGGATGGCGCGGCTAAGGGACAAATTCTGCCCCTCCGGAATTCCTTTGCACTGCCCTGACAGCACAGAAGAGGGGGAACGAGCCCCAGTGTAGGAGGGGCAGGGGCTGCCACCGGGCAAGTCCCCTGCACAAACCTGAGAAACACACGTGCTAGGAGAGAGGATGCATGGTGCTGGGAAGGGCTGAAACGCTCTGCCCACTGCTGCCCCTGGGAAACTGCCGTACAGATCGCACCAACGATCTGTGCAGGGTTGGGTGTGTCCCAACAGGGAAGCCGGAGTTCAGCCGCTACCAGCTTCGACACCTACCAAATGCAGTGGCAGTTACATTAAGGGCAATAGGAAAAGAGAAAGTGGGTTAAAGACCCACACCCACCTGTGGGTATGAACTTCTGCAACTGCCACTGACTGTGCTGCCAGGTCTCTGACATTGCAAGGAGCTACCAACCCTGAAATAACCTTGTAAAATTCTATGTATATCAACTCAGAAAAAGTCTGCTCACCTGCTCCCTTACCTGAATAACAACAGTAGAAAAAAAAAACAAAAAAAACCAAAAAACAACTTATCTACACACACACACACAAAAAAATCTTTGTAGGAGAGAGAGGAGCTATCCCAAAGCCTCTCACTGACTCTGTAGTTCAAGCCTGTATCAGTATTTTAAAAAAGAATTTCAAACCAAGCGCTAGTTAAGCAGCTTGGCACATCAGGGATATGTACAGCCAACCAGCACCTTCCAGCAGCACAGTGCTGTTATCCTACACAAAAGGAAAGATTTCACCTTTTCCATTGTTTAAAATAGGACAAAAAACCCCTCTTCCATATGCATTTAGTATTCATGGCCTCAAACTTCTTGGAAATACCATGAACGTTAATTGTTACACTACGCTCCAAGGGAATCATTCCCAAGGAATATTGCTGCTTTCCCTCTATTGTGCCACAAGTCCAGTAAGTGGTTGGGAATCCACCAACTGAGGCATCTGCCTAAAAAACTGAATGAGGAATTGGTTTTGGACTGTTCATTCAGCCCAAACAACAACGCCAAGCACAGGAAAGAGCCTGGGAGGAGCTGCAGGTTACGGTCAGAAGGCAAAGCCTTTTCTCCTACAATCCAGCTGCCCTGGCAGAAGCAACAGGTGATTTGATATCCACTGTTACTCCTAGGTTTTGAGCAGAGTTAAGACACAAGCTAGCAGGCTACAAACTACTCCTGATGTAAGTCCAGGGAACCTTAAAAAAATTAGAAAAATATTAGAAAAATTAAAAAATCTAATTACTCAAAACAACAGAAGTAAGCTGCGTGTATTTTTCCCTATTCTTCCACATCCTTCTGCTAGAAGCTGTTTTTCCAGAGTGAAAGGATATGCTACATCAAGTCTTGTGTGCTCTCTGTGCATTACTTGTGTGGTTTTAAGGCAAAATGCCTTTGGTGTGTATCAATGACGTGTGCCAGCCTTGCACAGCAACACACTGTCATGGCTTATTGCTCTGTTTAACAGACAAAACAAAGGACCAGCATAGCTTTGATTGTCATTTCTTTAGATTGTCAGCCAGCATTTCAAGAGGAATGTAAGAAGTTACAGGGTTTTCTTTATTTTTTTTTTTGGTATCTGGAAAAAGTTGTTAGGGCAAAGACACACATATTTAACTGTCTTAACAGCAGCAAATTATTCCTTCATCTATGGAGCTGTATTCGACCTAAACCACTGTGTTTTGCTATTAGCCAAGGTATTCTGCACTGATTTCTTTTTACAGTCTCTTTTCACCATGCACAGTTTAGGAAATGGGAGATGTATCTAAGTAACAGGAACAGTCCTCTATGGCCTAGTAAATAGGGATTAGAAAACCATTACAAAATTCTTATTGTGTAGGCTATGAAAAAAAAACCAAAACAAAGTTGAAAAAACCCACAAACCATTCAATCTGTACACATTACACCTCAGTAATGGCTCTGTAGCCACACAGCTCGGTGAAATGTTACCCACAGGGCTTATCCCACTGTCCAATAACTACTCATAGTTAAAGTCAGAGATGGAGAAGAGCTTGTCAGATGACAGTCTATTCCCATGTCAATGCAGGATCCTCTCGGGCTTTGTACACTGAACTATGTGTACAGCATTCAGAAACAACAACAGTTGTTCCAACTTATCTTCAGTTTCTGTCTGGAGTGCCCTTCTTTGCTGCAATTTAGCATAATGAATAAATCAAGGGTCTTCTTCCATGTCATCTGGATTAGGAGCCATAATAAAATGCTGGGGATACTCAAGGTTGTGTTCATAGGCATGTTCTTTCCAGCGTGCATCATCGCTCTCGTGGGTAATATAACGCTCTCCAATGCGCGTTTCAAATTCTCTGAGGTCAAGCCACGTCTGATAATCCTAAGGAAAAGAAGAGATTTAAGGAAGCAGTTTCAGAAACAGCAGCACTATATTCTCACAGATAAATTCTGTAGTTTGTCTCTAGTTTTAGTATCCATAGCCACAAGATATAATCAAGAAGATCTGTTAAGGAAAAAAAACCAACCAAACAAACACCTGTCCCCCAAAATACCCCAGAGTGTCCACAAAGCATGGTTCAAAATTAGACAGGTTAGTATCTAGCCTAAATCATGAAAACATTTTGTAACAAGACAACTATGTTAGCTTTATTATAAAATTAATTGTTTATATACACATATATGTAATTATACTCATGCCAATATTGTTTGTACTCAAAATTAATTGGATTTTCTCCTCAATGTCTTTTAGGTTATTTGTGAGCACAGATAAGTGCATACAGTATTGTGAAAGGAACCCGCATCAAACAAGGGGATAAATTCCATTCTGTACAATTCTCTGCCAAAACAACAAGTTACAGCACACACCAGTTTGTGTGTCCACCCGTGTTCATTGCACTGAACAATGTTTGTCTCTATACTGATTTCAGTGGGGCTCCGTGCACTCATCACACATTCAGGAGAGGTGCCAGAAGGGTAAAACTTTATGTTGGTATCAGACAGAAAGCAAGGGGTGGAAGACAGTAAGACAAAATTTTCTTTGAGGAAAGAAGCCATTAACAGATGGGCAGAATCCTGGAGCACATAAAATGTAAATGTAAAACCAGAAATACTCAAGCCTCCACGAATGCCTGTTAAAAAAATTTTGACAGTAGCAGTTTTAATAAGCCTCTGAAGGATTTAATCCAAAAAATCATTATTCACCTATTATAAACACAGTGAAAAAGGCAGATGGATTTACCTGTAACCACGGGTGACTAAGGGATTTGTCAACACTGAAACGTTTTCTCATCTTGACTTGAAGCAAATTGTTTATTAAATCTATGGCTGACAAAGAAGAACAAAAGAAAAATTACATTGTTTAAATAGCAATCACCTTTATCATTCACACACTGCAGTGAAAGTGAATTTTTTATAAGTGTGTGTGCGTACATCCTTTTCTGCTGAACTCCTTTAAACTTAAACAAGCCCTTGAATTTTACATTTACCTTTGCTTATGTTAAATAAGCCTACAAAAAAGGTATGGGGTAAGCTTCCCCCACCTTTGATGGAAACACTAAAAGCTTTACTACATTACTTGTTAAGCTTTTTCCCTACCGATTTTAGTGATTTTCAGAAGTGCCAAAATACTTGAGCTAAGTCAGTGTTCCAAAGTGATGTAGGTACTTCTACAGCTACCTGTGTGTTGATCATATATACATTACTAACAAAGCCGGCACTGGAGAAGGCTGGAGACCAACCTTGTAAACTTCTAGATGGTCCAGGCCTGACATTTAGATCCAGGTTTTGTTTCACTTGCTAATGTACAAAACTAAAACTCCAGATTCAGCTTTGAACTGTTCGTGTAATTACAGTTTAGATAAAGTATGTTTTAAGATCAGTGTCCGGGTTTTTAGCTGGGTTTCTTTTTAGTAGCTGGAATAGTGCTGCACTTTGCTTTCAGGTGGGATTTGTTACAAGAGAAACACTGATAACACACCAGTGTTTGCATTTTTGTTGCTGGAAGGGAAGGACTTCATGTTTAGTCTACAAGTGCAAGATCTAAGGGGGTGAGGAATATTTAAATTAATAAGCTAAACTGGTGTTTGGATATGCCAATGGGATATTCCATATCATATCACATCATGTCCAGTATATTAGTGAGGGGCTCTTCCTCTTTTGTCTCTCTCCGACTTTCACTCGGGCTCTTGCCCTTCTGGGATTGCAGTTTTGGTTCGGGATTGTCGCTCCTCTGGGATCGTTATCTGGGAACGGGCCGGCTTGGTCGGTGGGGGGTGAGCAGTTGCACTGTGTGTCACTCATTTGCATATTTTGTTACTGTTTCATTATCACTACTATTTTAATATTAGTATTGTTTTAAGTTTTATTTCTATTATTAAATTGTTCTCGCCTCAACCTCCAAGTCCCCTTAACCCTTGCCCCAATCGTCTCCCCTATCCCCTGGGGGTGGGGGGCAAGTGGGTGAACGGCTGTGTTGGCTGCTAGCCAAGGGTCAGCCCAGTGAAACTATCACAGTCAGCATTCAGCAAATACTCACACATGATTTAACTTTTCATTAGGAATTTTGTGAAGTTTCAGGTTACACATCCCACTTCCTCATGCATGCAATTAATTTTTCTTGCTAAATCTATTGACTTCTCCTGCCCTGAAAATGTTCTAAAACATTATATTTGCTAATTTACCTTTCACAAATATATGCCAGCTCTTATTCATCCATTTTGGCATAGTTTACTAAACTCAAACTATCAATAATTCTTACACTTCTATCTGAATGAACTTTGAGGTTTAAGCTCTTGAATGCATTATCTACATATAAAGATATTCTAATAGAGAAAATTCATTTCTTTACCTTCACTAGAAATTTCCTTCCAAGGATTTGGTGGGTACATAAATGCTGCATTTTGAATCTGATCATTTATATCCTCATCTTCATTAAATGGGAATGTACCACTAAGGCTCACATAGACAATAACTCCTACCGACCACATGTCTAGGGAGCGGTTGTAACCTTTACTCCTGAGCACTTCAGGGGCAAGATAAGCAGGTGTCCCCACCACAGAGCGCCTGAAAGATTTTTCACCAATGATACGTGCAAAGCCAAAATCACACAGCTTCACCTGCAAAAGAAATGTATTTTAAACCGAGAAATCTCTGCTTCATCTCCAGAGCATGCTACTGCCCAAGACCAGAGTGGTACTTGACACCCTTTCTGCCATCACTTAAACGTTGTATGCACTAAAACAGAGACAAAACATTACTGAAGCCAGTGAAGGTTTTGGGTTGCTGCTTTTGCAGACTGCTGCTTCAGACCGAGACCTGAACTAGCTTGGGCCAGACTCAGTTCTGAGGCAGTCTGTGTCATACATGGCCACAAGTGTGTAAATAAGGACAAAAAAACTTGATCCCAAACTCAGTTCATTTTCAGAGGCAAATCCACACCCTCACAAACCACAGAACCAAAATTTAAAAAGCACATGAATCCCACCCAGATCACATTCCCCTTAATCATACTCCTGAAGCTGGAGGCTTCAGCTACACAGAAATCAAACGAGGAGTTTTAGCTAGAACTCAAAACCCAGCCAGCTCTGGGCAGAACAGTCCAATAATCGTCCAGGTAAAAGCACCAACAGCTGGTGCCTGCACCGATGCTCAAATCTTCATGGTTCTGGGATGGTTCCTTAACTTGAACACAGCAGACACTTTTACAGAAAAATGGATCCAGATCAAGTCTGACACTAACCCCAAGTGAGTAAGCTCTCCTCAGGGTATAACAAAGAGCAGTGTACTAAAAGCACACGTGACTCTCCAAAAGTCCATTCCACTTCACATTAGTGTCGCAGGACTGGAAGCAACTCCCTAATGCTGCCTAGCAGACTTTAATTCCTGTATATCCTCCACAAAATCCATACTAATGTATCTAAAGTAGTAGCTGACTGGGCTAAGTGTTGACAGCACATAAATACTAGTATCACTAAACAGCATTTCTCTTAAAGAAATTGGCTATTTAGTTTATATTACAATGTAATATCACATATACTGATGATGAAGATGTCTGACCAAGACTAGTGACAAACGAGCCAGTCCCTTTTCACAACAGCTTATAAGCAAGACAAGAGCAAGGAGGAGGAGGAGGAGATGTACAACAGGGAAGAAATTGTATCTCAGGGTGAAAGAGCACTGGAACAGAAATGAGGACTGGTCTTGAAGCTTCTAGTCCTGTAATCCAGAATACTGATTTTCATGCACTCTTCACAAGCATAGAAATAGATGCAGTCTACACAGCCTTCTGCTAAGTGCTGGCAGTAGTTGTACTTCTCAGGCTCCATGGAGGAAAGAATGCTGGTGCACAGCATTGTTGTGAGATGTGATCTGTGTCTGAGGGGAAAGAAACTGAAACTGACCCTTGAGCATAAAGCATGGCTAAGAGTTGGAAGGAAATAAAAAAAGATAACATGTAGTTCAAGTAATTCTAGACTAAGTCAGTTGAACAATCCCATAAGAGGTCATCTTTTAAGTTGCAAGGCCTATATTTCCTTTTAAAAAAGAACACTGAAAAGTGACAAAATAAGTGGTTTTTAATCCTCACTCACTTGAGGGAATGGCTCTGCTGATGCTAGTAGTACATTTTCCGGTTTTAAATCACAGTGCACAATATTCTTGAAGTGTAAATTCCTCAAAGCAACAAGTATCTACAAAAAGGAAAGAACATTTTCAGAACTATTCAAGCAGATCAAGTGTCAAAAGCCACACACACTAAGCAATACAGTAATTTGCATCAACACAGTCTTCAAGAATTAACCTGTGTATACTGTGCAAGTATTACTTTCCAGCTTATCAAGACTTGGAACTAATGGTTTTGATTTTCCTTTTTTCTTCCCCCAGCCCCACCTTCCTCTCTGTCTTTTTGAATGCTTACTGTTTTGACATGCATCTTTCTATGTCCATAGTGTTATGTCTTGGGAAAAAAGGGTAAAAAAATTAACATAATTAACATTCAAAATTCTTTTCCATGTTTATTCAACTTTAATTTGATGTGTGGCCCTCTGTGCTGTCTCTTTTACATAACAACACAGAAAACCTCTGCTCCAAACTCCATTCCCACATAAGTACAAAAGACAAATCTAGCCTTTCCTCTCAAAGAAGAGAGGCTGAATGCCAACCTGAGTGACCATAAATTTAGTTATTCGTTCTGGAAGTCGACTTTTCTCGCTGGAAAGAATCATCTCTAGCATATCCCCATGCAACTTTTCCATCACAACAAAGACCCGTTCTGGGGTTTCAAACATACATTCCAGGTTCACAATCCCAGGGTGGTGCAAATTCTAAAATAAAGTAGCATAGGTACATCATTAAAATAAAACAGTATGAAATATCCTGAATTACACAAAAATTTTGTCTCTCAAATTAAAAAGCAGATAAGCTTGAGAGTTAGAGATGAAAAAACAGAATGTCTGGGGCAAGAAACTAGCCTGAAACATAAACATCAACCCACGAAACACATTGATTATCACTACTAAGACTAATCTGTCTTAACACAAATTATCAGCAATGATTAGTTTTACAGTTGATACACTCGGTAGCTCGAGTACAGAACATGCAAGAATAACACTCATAGAATGAGGAGACACTAGTGGAATACAGCCAAAAATAATGGTGTTTTCTGCTACCTGCAGGAGACAACATGGAGCCAAAGTACCTGTCTTCAGTGGATCCCCTACCGGGGGTAGATGCCACTCCCAAGTTATCAATTCAAACAAATACTCAGGAATTCCCCCTCTTCTAAGATTCCCTCTTACAAAGACTCAGAAATCACATATACAGATTTAGAAATCACTTCAGAGCAGTTATACACATTAGTAAATCTTTTTAATGGCTTGAGACAAATTCCAATGCAATCCAAAAATACTTCTGTACCTGGAGAATGGCCACTTCATTACGAAGCTGACTTTCCTGTTTAGTTGGAAACCTCATCTTGTCAATGACTTTAATAGCCACATCTCTTCCAGTCTTCCTGTGTTTTCCTAAACAGAAAGTCAGTGTCAGCCATCAAGAGGCAGAAGCCGTTTATAGCTACAAAATACTACAGCAGAAATTTCTTTCTGGGGAAACAAGTATATTTTGTATAAATGTATGATAATACTATATTTATATTTAAAATTGCAACTGGTATATGAGTAACAAGAAGTGATCAGCCTCAACAGGAGGGCTGTAGACAAATTTAAACTGGTTACTACTCTGCTGTCAGGTATGCACATCAACATTAGATTATCAGGTAAAGTTTTTGTTTGTGCAAGGGACTTGCACATTAGCAGGTAATACCTGCTCCCACAGAATATTTCCTCTCCTGTAAAAAAAAACAACAAAATTATTGAAGACAAATGTGAAGAAAGATCTACAAGTCTTCTCCAGTGGTTTTGTACTTTAGCAGGCCCCACATACACAGGAAATTATATCTAATACTCTATGAGAACATAGAGGTAATTATGTGCCATGAAGAACAACATGTTAACATCCAGGAGGCAGTCTGTTGTGATCAAAAAGCTCTAAAAGGTTGTGGTAAGAAGAAAAACGTGCTGATAGCACCAAATACTGTTCCTTGCTGCAACCTGCATCAGCTAAATGAGAAGCATTCTGCAACACAGATGGGATTTTTCAACAGTTGAGTGAGTAGCTGTAAATGCTTACCCAGCTTCTCCGAAACTGCTAAACTGACTTCTATCACATTCACATCAGAGAGGTTAATGGGATCACACACTGCAAGACCTTGGTAACCTAAGACATTTTATACCAAACTAATACAGAAAAGTAAGTCTGCAGCACAGGAAAAAAGTCATTGTCTGGTCAGTGAAAGGTTTGGAAGCCATGTTAGGAAAAGGGACGAGACAGACAGCTACAGTGCACGAGGCACAAGGGACTCTACTGGCACTGCTACGGGGAGCCCAGCTATGCCTCGCTAACCACCTAGCCAGGCCTCACCCCCTGCTCTGCAGCCAGCACTGGTGGCCAGGGCTTAGCAGGGCATAGGAATTGCTCCAAAGGCTGCTGGGCCAAGCAACTAACACATCTGCCTTAAAATCATCGTGAATAAAGGGTCAAAACCAGGCTTATCTCCACCAGATGAAGTAAGGCAGTGAATGGAAAGATCATTCAAGGTCCCAAAGGGTTTACAAGATTACCAAATAAAACTAGCAATCGGAGAGCAAAGAATAAATTTTTAAAAGATAACATTAGTCCTAAGGAAAGCACACACTGTATAATGAACTGTCACAGGCAACAGCATAAAGCCAGAAGTCTTGAAAGACAGCGATCCAGGGAGTTTTGTTATTTTGTCTGTAACAAATCAGCAATTTTTAGGCACAATATTAGAAACAACAGCACCTAGCTATAATTTAAATAGAATCCTAGATTCATAAAAAGTGACTCTGTCTCCACTAGACATCAAGTTATACTGAAACGTAACAGAAATACCATCAATTACAAACTAGATGCAAAACCCCAAAGACAAATGCTGGGTTGAAAGAGAATGTAAAGCAAAACCTCCAAACTAACGAAACACTTTACTACAGAACCTGGACTACAGCTAAAAACCGGGCATGAAGAAAGATCAACAGAAAAGCAGTTTGAATATCCTTTTCCCAAGTAAAACACAACTAACCAGGTTTCAGGGCAAGTTTTCCAACAGTAACGAAATGAAGAAATTTTTTTAGTGTCTCCATTTTTTAGACCCTTCAAAACTAACCAAAATAGGCAAAGCAGAGGGAAACTGTTCTCACTGAAAGAAACAGGAGTTGGATATCAATATCCTATACCTTCTTAATTAACAATTTGTAAATCTTTGTCCAGAATAGAGGATCCACAAAAAAGAACCCTCACCAAAAAACCCAAAAACCCTCCCAAACTCCACAACAAGTAAGCAACTTAACTTTACCTTTATTTGCTTAAATGAAAGGTTTTGTTACCAATATTTCAGTAAGCCTAAACAGGTGGGGAGAAGCCAATATTAGAAGTTACCAGATCTAGTCTCCTCAAACACCAGCAACAATTAAGCAGTGCACAGAGCCAGCAAAATAATATTTTATATTTTCTTCTTGCTCATTCAGCTTGTGATTTTATCTTAAGAAACTGAGTATGCATACCCTATATATGTTAAGGCATCTTTAAGTGAAAAGATTTAATATAATAAAAGTCTTTTATAAGCATGTATTATGTTCAGAAGCATTTATAAGCACTGAATCATGAAGAATACCAAGCTGAGATTTATCTGAAAGGCAATTTAGGAGCGTATATATAGAAATAAAATCAAAACATTAAACTACTGTCTGCACTTGTCCATGTTCTGTTCTCATAAGAGAGGGAGCATACTTTGATTCACACTGTGCTTTAAGAAATACAGAAGGGAAAAAAATAGACCTTTCCAATAGTGACGTAAAACTAGACCATCAAACTGCATTTCCACCAAGCAGTTCAGAAGTAATACAGAAAAGTATTTAACTACACAACTGGCACACAGAGAAATCATAGCCACAATACCTCCTGACCAGAAAGACAATGTGACAGAAGCAGAAAGGTCACCGCTTTTAAACCATTAGTTATCACTATCCAGATTTATGGTCTGCGGTTTTCTCAACACTTGAGATATAACACATGGGATAAGGTGGGGGAAGAAGAAACAGACATCATATATATTTCTAGTATTTCTTCTTTTGTGATTACATATGATTAACAAGTTATATGTTGTAACAGGAGTTTTTAAAAATTGAAAGTGATAAAACTATATTTGAAACCTAAAACTGAGACCTCTCGACAAATAATTCCTCCTTGTAGTTTATCCTGCTGACATAAATTTGTAGCGAAATTGTTTACACAAAATGTGTGAATAATGTTGGTATAAATACTGTCAAAACATAAACTGTCTTTTTTCTAATTGCTTCTGGACACATCTCTCAGATGTCATTAAAAACAGGTATAACTGCCAGCCTTCTTGAATACATGACTACTAATACTGTATAATACAGACAACAGCGTTAGAATTTGCAATTAAAAAAACCCCAACATTAACCAAGGCCAAATTCAGACTAGAGATTGCTTTGTATTAAGCTGTGCTCAAAATGCAATGCATATTCTAAACTGATTTTGATGCTAATGCAAAACTCTAAATGCAAAAAATGAATTGTAAGAAATACTATAAATAAAACCACAGAGAGGCACAGTGAAGTAATCCAAACAAAACTTTTAACAAGATAAACTTCACCTAGACATTGTAGATACAGCTAAGCAAATACAAAAAGATTAATTATATCAAGCAGACAGACATTCTACCTTAATAAATGCTTAATGGAAGCTAATGTAATTTACCTCCATATACAATACCAAACTGACCAGAACCCAGCACTTCATCAGCAAATATTTGGTACACAGAGCTGATATCCTAAAGTATGAAAAAAAGAAATCACAAATATCAGGAGTAATCAAAATGTCCATGAGCATATTAGTTAGTACTGGTTAAGCTGTATTTACAGACTTTGATTAATGTCAAACGTAAAGGGTCCTGTCATTACCCTGAATGGAGTGGAAAAACATAACAAACTTTTCCTGAAAAGGACGCACTTAGCTGAGCTGTAAGCAGGGACACACGTTCACACAAACTAACAGCTGTGCCAGGTAAGTAGATTACTTCCTGTATATAACACAGACTTCTTTAGCTACAACACTCTGGTGTTGCTTTCTAACCCAGAGACATTGTTGTTACCAGTTACTTTGTAATACTCAGGTACATAAGTACCATTATTAGATAATGCACATGACTCACCACATTCTCCTGGACTTGGCAGTTCGAAACAGAGATGCTTAGAGATAACTCTTCTGCAATAAAGATAAAACTGAGTAAGTAAATAGGAAGGGTAGGGGGGAAAAAACAAAACAAAACAAAAAACCCTTTACTGACTTTTAACCCAGTTACGGTGAAAAGATTTTTATTGATGTTCTGCAGAACCATCATACCCTGGAACTCAAATTTCACAGACTGATGAGATAAACAACCCTGGGAGTTTTGCTGGGATTATTTGTCTATTTTTGTCATATCTCCAATTACAAAAAATAGTAGAACTGTATGAGTGTGTATGCAACAGAGAGCTCAGGAACCAAAAGCAATAGTAACATGGCAATTGTATCAGAGTCCATTAAACTACTAGGAATTTCTGGTAGTAATATAGGAAAAAACACAGAAGAGGACCAGGTAGCTCCCCTATAGTCAAATGAATGCAGTTACTAATTTTCTGTGGCATCAAAATATACAGAATTAATGCATAAGAAAAGGAAACAAATCAAGCAAAGCAAGTAACAGAAGACCTGATAAATAAGAGAGCAATAAATCCCATAATATAAACCATCTTTGTTTCACAGACAAACTACAGAAGCATATCAATCTTTGGAATATAAGAGCACATCTAGGAAGTGTTATTGCAAGTAAAATCACCAGATAAAGATGAAGAATTTTTCAGCCTGCAGCAGATGTTGACACAAAGTTTTCGTTATAGGACAAGAAGAGATATATCAAGGAAAGCAGAAAACATCCTTCTCCTTTGACTTTCAAGACAGAGGTGGAGTGCCTCAGACAGATGGACACCTATCATTTGTTATGCTAACTTTAAAAAAAAAAATGTAGAACAAATTCACCTACAGAGTGGACAGAAGATATACTATAGATTTACTAGCACTTTAAAGAGCCTTTATCATGCTGAGAAAAGCCTTGAGCTTTAACACAATTTCAGAGAACAAATAAAATGTCTGTATCTGATTTTTGCCACCTGTGCTTTACCTCAAAAAAAGGAATTTAGAGATTTAGGATAGCAAAAAATACTAACTCTCTAAGACACTTTGAATACTGCATCTGAAACGTGAACTGGAATTAGTCTTGCATACGTCTACTGATTATTGACTACAGTCTGACTGGAATAACAGGACAGAACACAAGAAAAATAAAGGGCAGACAAAAAAGTTACTAAGGTCAACACAAACTGCAGCTTGGTTGAAATAAGGTAACTAGAAAGTGAATATACAGTTTTTGAAATTGTTTAGAGAGAACACAATCCTTCTCTCCAGATGGTTACAGAATATAAAATATCTGTTAGGTAGAGACTGAGTTACTCCTTCCAAATAGATCAATTTTTCTAGTGTCTGAAATGCATAAGAATAAGGGCTGAAAAACTGTCACTTCTGAAGAAATCAGTAATGCCACGATTCAAGTGTAATCTACACCAGGTAACATCTTACTAATCTCTTCCTCATTTCAGCTCTGAAACATCCCAACCCTGCCACCAGCTACAAGCTCAGAAAGGAATCTTTCCCATGTTTTTAGCATCCTCACTTCTAGCTACTTTCTGGCTAGAATGTGGTATAAATTGACAAGCCAGTGTCTTGTAGACATTTGGACACTACAAATTCCCTGCTGCTGTAAATATTTCAGGCACTAGCAATGTGTTCCTCCTCTGTTGGTCCTTTCATTTAAATATATTTGAAACTTTTGGGGTTTTGTTTTTTTATCTAAAAGTCTAATTTTCTTCAAGGCTCTTGGGATACATTTTATGGCTCACAGTGTGCAAGGAAGGAGAGGGATGAACATATATCAGAGATGGATAAACTAATCTCAGAATCTCCTGCAAAAGAACATTTCTCTAGAAGATTAAAGAGTAGCTGGAAGATGAAAGGAAACTAATGAATGAAAGCACAAATCTCAGTACAGAATGTGAATGACATTGAATGTCACTGCAAGGAACAAGGAGATGTGTGAAGAAAAATACAATATGTAGTTTGGTGGAACCTTGATAATGAATATGATCCTACACCAGAGAAAGAAAGAAAGGGAGGATGGGTGCACAGAAGGAAGAACAGGAGGGTACTTTTCATTGCGATCCACAGCTCAGCAAAAGTTCTTTCCATCACTGTCAGTATTTACGTTGCACCACTAACTCCTTTTCTTTTCCTTACCCACTGACATCTCACACATTTAAAATGAAATATATAAGGGATAACATCAAAAAGTATCCAAATTTAGTTCCTTCAGATTATATGTATATAATCTGGAGTTTTTTTAAAGCACATTAGAAATATCTAAACTATGATCCCTTTTTACATCCATCACCTTAATGTGTGATTTCTTAATGGTCCTACAATAAAGCTCTGCAATATGCATTAAGATTGTAAATCTGCTTCCGAACTGCTACTTCCTGCTACAACAGATTAAAGGATTTGCCCACCCTCCACAAACCGGAGTGTCACTTTTCAGAGACTTGTGGAAAATTATGGACCAAATTCAGCAGGGAATAGACAGACAATACTTCACTCTACAAAAGCACTTTTCTGAAAGGAATCTCTACCGTTAGCAGCTTCAGAATATAAATAGTAGTGCCTTGTCTGCCTGCTTACTGTGATCTTTTCCTTGTCCTGCAGCAGTGCAAACGCTAGCTTGAGGAGTGACTGGCATCAAAGCCTGACGAATGGCTTTCTCCCAGCCCTGAGCTACGTCAAGTCCAACTCCAGTGGCAGCAAGAACAGGACTGTGGTGACTGCTGCCATTGTTTTCGCCAACAAAGTACACCATCGTGTCAGTGATGATCTCAAAACAGTATGGGTTGCTGCCCTGCACCACGTTTGAAAAATCTCGAGGCTGAGTCACCTGGAGAATTTCTGAAAGTGGAATCTCCTGAAGAAAAATATTAAAGATTAAAAAATGAAAATGCACATAATATTTTAATATACTGATATTCAAAACTTAAAGCGTTTGCAAAGAAATCAAAGCAAATATATCAAAATACCAAAACCAAAATACCAAGCTTCATAACTAATGTCAAACTGTGCATGATCAAGGCCCACCCACAGTTTTCTGAATTCCTCTATACAAGCCTAGAGAGACTTCCAGCCCCACCATAGTTGTCTCTACATAACTACTGTTTTCTACTCAGATAAACTGTATTTATATTCAGCATGAAACACACCCTCACCACGTACAAATGATGCACAACTACAGAATGACCATTTTCTCCCTGTAGTTTATACAGCTTAGCTAGAGAAGAACATGACAGGGGAAAAAAAAGTGAAACAAAACAACATTAAGAAAAAACTAGTAAATAAGCACTGCTTCACACATCTGAATAATTCTGAGCAAAGATTCTCTTTCATACAGATATTAACAATTTCGACTGACTCCTCTACCTTGTCAGTTTAAGATCACGGTACAAGCAGTACTAGAGGACAGATCTGAAGGAAGAAATGGTTGCAGTTCACACTAGCTGGAGGAGGACATTCCACATACATGGGAAGGTGTACAGGTGCACATCACTTGCAAGAGTAGTGAACAAGCAGGTGAACACCGGGCTGGCATTAGGGGGATAAGAGACAGTAGCTGATTAGGATGAAGAACAAATAAATGTAAAGGCAACAACTGTGAATAGCTCTAACTGCAAAGACAAATAACCTGAGATTTACACAGTTAAAAGAAGGGGTGCAAAGGGGCAAGTCAAAGGACTAAAAGCAGTGACATAACGGAGCAACAAGCAAGGAACATATTTTACCAGCTGTATTTTGAATGCACAGGGCAATACAAGTATCAGAGAGGTCTGAGAAGATACTGCATTGGTCAAGATAGGGATGAAAAGGATCTGGGCAAGTTTAGCTGGGTGTACAGACAAAAGGCTTGATCTTAGAGAAGTTTTAAAGGAAGAAGGTGCAAGATTTGGACCCCCACCTAAAGATGTAAGACAAGAAAGGGAAAAATCCTGTTTATACATTTTAACACATTTTCTGAATATTCCACCACTCAACATATTATTATATTAACAATATACTAAACTTATTGCTAAGCTTCATATAAATGAAGCTTTATATAAATAACATCAGGCTGCACAGTAAGTTTTCCTCTAAATCTTGCCTGCAACTTTCAGTTGTACAATTGGGCATAATTTAATTCTGGGAACCTCAAAATAAAATACATAAGCATGCAAGCTTTCAGTCACTTCTTATAGAATGTAAAAATCCTATTCTTCATTAGACTGTCAGCCAAACAAGTTCTCTGGTAATGGTGAAGAAAGCTTAATCTGCTAGGTAATTCAAAGAACAGTACATGTAAAATGCAAGGAGACACATATTCAAGGGGATTAGAAGAGGAGCTGCAAGCAACTTCTCAGAGTTAGTCTTGGGCCTTCTCACTTATAAGCTTTGGCCAACAATTAACCCAGTCAGTTTTCATTAAAAAAGATGGGGAAATGGAGATAATATTTATACTGCTCACAAGTAGATTTCAGATCTATAAAGCAGAGTAAATCAAGAGCAACACAATTATTACTAATCATTAATTACCTTGTAATATTTTGTTCCAGATTCATTTTGAAATAGCGTGAGGCATTTGCTGTCCAGTCTCCAGTAATGTCTTTTTCTCTATAAAATGCACAGTACAATAACGTAAGGAATAAATCACTGCTATGGCTTTTTCATCTGATTATTTAAATGAGAAATGCTTTAAATTAATAAGATAATTAATATTAATCTGCAGTTGCATGAAAAAATATGCTTTGGGAATAAAGATTTATTTTTTTTTTAACTCAAGAAGAGGCTCAAAAATTATTTCCACAAATCAGAAAAAAGCATACCACTTACTTTACAGCAATAGCAGTGACAACAGCAGTTATCTTGTACAGGAAAAACACTTATACAGGTTTCACTCCAGGTGCACGTGCTCACAAAACCTGAATTATTTTAATTTAGTAACAATTGTGGGAGTCATGCTTTCTCCCTCTGTGCACTCACACCAACATCACAAGGGTTCAAGGACTCAGCAAGTCTAAGTCATCCTTAATTATTTTGTTAACACAGAATTCTAGAAGGTCAAAAGCATGCAGTGGCAAGACAAACCAATTATGAGATTCAAGTGGACAAAATATTTGGGGCAGGGGGGGTGGTGGAATCAAGACAGACTAAATAGCCACTTTCTGGAAGTCTCCACCAATGAGAAATATCTTCTCCACCAAAAAGTAAAATTAATAAGCTGTTGCACATAACTGTCTTCTCATTTTAAGCAGAGGAACATTCCTCAAAGCAACGAAGCTTTTAGAAAGCTAATATGGCTGTATGGATCTAACTTACTTTGCTTGCACCATGTTTATATATTTAGAAACCCACTTTCATTTTTCTGCAACAAAAATCCGAGACTCTGGCCTAGGATGACAGTTTGAACCATAATATAGAAGACCTTAAATCACTTCAATCATGGGGAAGCTAAGACTACCTGTAGGAGTCAGACAAAGAAAGCTAGGTCATGCATGGATTTAACTAAATGGAATTCCCAGACAGCACTGAATGGAAACTGAGTGAGCGCATAAGGGTGAACGTGTCCTTTGGACATATATCCTCTTTATTAAATCATGAATCAGGGAAGACTTTGGAGGGGGAGAATCAAGAAATAGATTGGTAACTCAACTAAGGGATTCAACATCTGCCCAACTCTATTCTGAGAAAGGATGGGCTCAGAGCGAGGAAAACAATACAGACAATTATAAAGAAATTTCTCATTATAAAGGGTGAAATATCTTCTTACCCAGGGTCAGCAAGAAGCATACAGCTACTGCTGTTACAATGAACCTCTGTGGAACTGACAGAAAGCCCAAGTGGCTTCAGCAATAGGACACAGTCTGACTTTGCTGAGAGCAGAGAAGTTAAGGGAAATAGCCGACGTTGTAATGCCTAATATGGAAGTCTCCTCCCATTAGGAGGAGAGATCTCGCTTGGTTGGAGGCATCTTGCTTTGGAGCAGAACACTCCACTTCATTTGAATGGCCTTTTTTGGTAGATGTCATCTAGATAGAACCCAGACTGACAGATGAAGAAAAGCAAACTAAGCTAAGGTGTACAATCTGATCACTGTTCTATGAAGAGGTTCAAAAAAGGTCCATGGAAAAATGAACTGTCTGTACTGAAAGATTAAATCAGAGCTGAATACCACGTCTGCCCTGAACGCTGCTAGAACCATTCATCTTCGTCTACTACCTGGCCTTAGTTTTTCTACAGCCGGCTCAAGCTAGTTGTGTCTGGTAAGTAGCCTTAGCTGGAATCTCATCTGAAATATGCTAAATACTTATTTTGGTTTGTGATAAATACATCTGGGTATTAGAAAACTGTACTTTACATAAATGTTTTGAAAGGCAGTTGCTGACAGACCACTTGCAGTAGCCTGTTTAGTTGACAATCACAAAAAGTAAAAATACTACAGTAACCTGAGCTGACTAGTGTCACCCCTCAGCTTAATTTCAACAGAACTTAAATAACTCTGCTTCTCTAACTTCCTGAAGTCTCCTTCAATCAGAACCCTGCACAGAGACAAAAGAATGCAAAAGCATTTATGCTGCCTTTCACCAACAGTCTCAATCCAACACACGGTGCTTCATGAGATCTGGGAACTTCTTGACTTCATCCTTTTCATTCACCTACCAAAAGACAAGATGATTCACCCCCTCCCATCAGACAACTCTAAGGAACACAGTTATTCTTCCTTATCTTCCTCCCTAATACACAAAAGGAGCTTGCCTAAGAAGGTTCAATTAAGAGATCATTATTCATAGCCCTGGCAACAAACAACATAGTCTTTTGGAGGATGCTTGCATATCCAATGACATGGAATTAACCCACAACTCTATTCCACTGACATCAAGAGGAATAGTGAGGTTGTGGGGGGGAGGATGGTGTTCAATAATGCTTACTTTCCAATAGAGTGAACTGCTAGAGGAATCTACACATAAATATTTACAAACGGCTAGATCATTAGAATAATAGTATGAACCACTTCAGTACTCATCATTTTATAATGATTTCCACCTTTTCATGGAGTAGAATAAAAACACTGATACAATTATTTAGTTCAACTACTAAACAGAAAGAAGACATAAGCAAATTACTCCAAAGTATTATCTCAGGAAAGCTGATCTCTTAAACATGCAGCTCACTTAAGACTATTTAGAGATGCTTCTCCTTCTCAAAAGGGAGAAGGAAAAGTACTATTGAATCACCACATGAAGAATTTTGAATAAACTACAATTTCTCCTTTGCACCAGATTTCTTTATAATGAACAGCATGGCTAAGTTCTTTCAAATTATACTGTAAATAAGAATATCTAAATAAGATAATAAAATACACTAAAAAAAGATAATAAAATAAAATACAGGTTTAGAGAAATAATTTAACTTAATGTAGGAAGAAACTAAAGTCACTGACCAGATTGTCTCTACTAGTATAGTGGACCATCCAGCCTTCCTTCACCATTGTACTGCTCTTCCTCTTTGTGTGCTTGATTGACTGTACAACTCTCATGAGAGGAATATTATTGCTTGTTGAAGGACTGAAAAATGATAGAAGAGTTAGTATTTAACAATTAAAATACAACAGTATTGCAATTATACTGGTACTACACATTTAGCCCATAATTTTCAGGAGCAGTCACCTTTTCTTCCCATACAAATTTGATTGACAGATGAAATTTTATAGGGTATCTGAGCTTCCCCAAGCTCTCCTAGTGCAGGTACTGCAGTACTCAAATTACTTTATGGAACACAGAAGAAATACCTGGAATGAGGAAATCATCCTCTCTCAAAACAATTAACCGAGACTGCTGGTCTTAATTCAGCATAAAAATATAATTAACATCAGCATTGCTATTATTATGTTGTCTCTGTAAATTGACTATGCTACTTCTTAATATCGCTGTATCACTAATGAAGGTCTCTATCTAAGCATACTTGCAATTTATGAGCACATAAACAAGGGTGTGTTAATTCAAATCACAGCTGCACTAGAAAATTTTATCAATGCTCAGGGATATTAAATGTGCTGCACACAAGGATTTGATAATCTCTAATATTCTGACGGAGTCATTAGTTAAACATACAGGTTTTAATAGCACTGAAGATGGAGTGAACCACTAAGCTGCCTGCTTAACACCAGAGCTCCTACATATGGCACTAACAGAAATGTTTGTAAACACGTGAAATCACAAGGTAGATTCTAAACCAAAAATGTAAGGATGCTTTTCCACAGCACGCAGTTACACTGTAGAACTGGCTGTCACAGGATGCTGTACATGCCAAAAACTTTAATTGCTTCAAATCTGATCAGAAATAAATGATAAAATCCTACTTAGAGGTGGAACACAAAAAAGATGCTACTTCCAACTCAGGAAGTCCTTGAGCTATAAATCACTGAAAGTTGGGAAGGTATCACTATATGCTCTTCCTCATATAATTGCTATTAAGCTCTGAGCTAAAATGACCTTTAGTTTGACCTAATACAACTGCTCTTATGTTATTAAGAATGACTTAAGAAAATAAGGATGACACTATTCAAAATAATACAGAAAGTAAAAAGACCAAGTTTGATTAAAAGAACTATGTATCAGTTATTGGATAGAAGACTTCAGAAAAATCACATTCAAGATAAACAAAGCAAACTTCTGCCTAAAATGCATACAGACTATCACGTGAATATTAAAATATCTCAAGCAATTCCTTTTAAATCAACACAAGTAAAACTGTAACTGAATTAGGCTAAGTCACAATGATTTTAGTCATGTCTTAGCCATGTTAAGCCACAAATTTTACCATGTTTTAATAATCTGGTTTTATTTCTTTGATAAGAGTCATAGCACAGCACTTTTTCCAATTAGAAGGGACTATATTATTTTAATTTATTTATGTTTCAGATTTTCTTGAGACATGTTACCTTTACAAAGCATTTTAAAGTTAAAAAACAAGTCAACACAACACAAATGAACAAACAACAATTTAAGCAGTAAAACTGAGCTAATCAGAAACGTTTTACTCACAATATTGAGAAAAGTACATCCAGAGCAAAGAAATCCACCTCATGACTTACCTGATGGTTTTGACAGCTTCCTCATCTTTGTCTGCATCAAGATCAGAGGGATCCATAAAGAAGATTTTGTCCTCTGGAGGAGAGGGCTCTTCAGCATCATCTAGACCTCGACTACCATCACTGTTCATTTCACTGCTATCAACTTCCATTGGCATGTCCAAGTCTTGGCCTGGGCTAGCAGGTTCTGGAAACAACACAGGATTCAGATATTATTTCAAATACACAATTTAAAAAAAAAAAAAAACAAAAAAAAACCAAAAACAAACACAAAATCTCTTCTTCACATTTATGCAAGTAAACATAAAAGTACAATGCAAATATATAAAATCCTCAAGTTTTTGTTAAATGATGCAGAGTATGCTAATGAACACTATCCATTTGGTTTTGCTAAATGCCAAGGTAAGATAGACCCAACTAAAACAAGAATCATATTGAAAGAATCTGAGAGAAAAGCTTAAGGTCTAAACCTAAACCTCTTTAAATAATTCTGTTCCACAAGTAATCAGTACAAAGTAACCTTTCAATGGCTAGAGATGACCCAGAGAATTATTCCTGTGCAAATGAAATTCTGCGTCAACAGAAATTCAACTCTCTTCTTGCTGCCCTTGTAGCCCATAATAGCAAAAGTAAGAGAGAAAAGGGGGGCTGTGGTATTGCAGGAAAAGAGAAAAGCAGAACAGATCTTACTCGCATTTGACTCTCCATTGGCAGAAGTTTAAAGTTTCTAAAAGCTGTACAACTTGCACTGTGGAGAACTAAGAATTAAGACATACAAATACCTTCATCTGTAGTGTTTTGTTTTGATTTTTTTTAGTTTTGGGGTTTTGGTTTTTTGTTGGTTTTTTTTTTGTCCAAGGAGAGCTCAGTTTAAGGGTGGGAGAAAAGAAACTTATGTCCACTGAAGAATTGTATGGAATTACAGTTCCCAGACTAAGCACCCCAGCACCTTCACCTCATAAGGGCAGTGAAAGCAGGCTGCAGCAACATGTTGCACTCATGGCCACCAATCTCAAGACCCAGGAGAGAGCCTTGGAGCTGGAGAAGGTAGGCACGAATGGACAGGATACCATGTGCAGTGGCAACAGATCCACTAGCTAACAAGGCTGCTGCCTAGGCCTCTGAATCAGGTTGTACAATTTGGTGTGATCTGCTGCATGTCATCAATCTTATTCTCTTATTCCCCTTCAAAAACATATGTGCCAAGGATCAAGATTTTGGGCAACAGAATCACAGAATGACTGAAGTCGAAGGGGACCTCTGGAGGTCAACTGGTCCAACAGCTCCTGTGATCCCATTTCTCCACCCTGTCGAAGTCCCTCTGGATGGCAGCACAACCCTCTGGCACATCAGTCAGCCCCTCCCCAGGACATCAGCAAACTTGCTGACAGTACACTCTGCTCCATCATCCAGACCACTAATGAAGATGCTGAACAGGACTGGATGCACTATTAACCCCTGGGGTACAACCACTAGTTACCAGCCCCCAACCAGACCTCAGGCTACTGATCACCAACCTCTAGGCCCATCCATTCAACCAGCCCTCAATCTGTCTCACTGCTCATCCATCCCATATTTCACCAGCTTAAAACTGGTCTAAAACTCTTTCACATACTGTTCCCCACCCTCCCCTTTCAACCCTGTAAGGTATATTCAGAAAATATTCCTATTTAATCGAGGTTTCAAAAAATTAGAGTGGGGTTTTATGTTTTGGTTTGGCTTGGTTTTTTCCTTTGTTTTTTTTACCTCAAACTGCTGGGCTAACTCTGACCACTAAAAAACATGGATATGAGAAAGTCACAAAAAATAGTACTTGTTTTCAGATATTAATATTTAAAAATATATATTTAATAGTGAACAATGAGCAGACTGATCATAACAGATGTTTAATTTTTGTACAATGAGAAGGTTTCTTCATTTTTTATTTCCCTTGAGCAATCTCAAGCAAAACATACTGTACTTGCCAAGACTGATTAAGTAAAACTAAAGTCACCAGAATATAAGCTCTTCAGTGAATCTTTTTAATTGACAGCAATATCAGGTGAAAAAAATATGGGAAGACAAAATAAAAAGACAGAAAATATTCAAAGATGAGGGAACCAAAAGCTAATGCATCTTGTTAAGCCTCCAAAGATCTGTCGGTATTTGAAAGGATGTTTCTCATCTTACCTCCATTGAAAATCACCTCTCCAAGACAGTCTCTAGGTACTTTAGACGCACAGCGCTTGTGACAGTTGAATCTGCAATCTAAAATAGAAGATTAATAAGCCCATGATACCAGAATCTTACTCCAACTCAGACACTAACCTTCCATCATTCACTACCTCCATCAGAAGCTTCAGTGCAGATTCATACATTTGCACATAACTGAAGACAGCATCAATGAGGTCACCTCCAGACAGAAATTAATAGTCTTGTCCTGATGTCACATGTTGATTTGCCCCATCACTATTTATTAAGTTAGCACTTCCCCTTCCAGTATAAAATAGTTTTCTACTTCTCTTGCTTTCTCTGTCTGTAATTATTTTTTCCATTATGATATAATTTTTCCCATCCTCTCATCTGTTCCACATCCTTTTTTCCACTGCTGTATGATTTACATGTCTCATCTCTATCATTTTTCCTCACCTGCTGCCTAAGACTTGCAGCCATCAGAGCCTCTAGGATCACACACCTATATCACAGAGCAAATATAATCTGCAGTAAATCCCAAAGTCCAGTTCCCCTATCATTCGGATTACAGATTTGGCTGAATACTGAAGCTCCATTTCTGCCTGCCGACACAGGGCAGACAGAATAACATCATGTCTAGATCTGGCCTGATGTGGAGATGGAATCTAACCTGGATGTGTCCCATTTCTGCATCCGAGGTATCATATGCAACCTACTGAACAAAGTCCAGCATATAGCATCAGTGGTATGAACAGGGATTTCCTTTATTAGCAGCATCACTGTAATTTTCAACTCTCTATCAACATTATGAATTTCAAAACACCCTACTGCCCCCACAACTGTTTTCAAACTGATAATTTAGCCCCTTTCTTCTGTCCAAAGAAAGCTCATTGTGCTTTCTTTTGAAGCCCAGACAAGAGAAAAATCATTATCTCTCCATTTGTAGTAGCAGAGAAGCCAAACTCTGGAGCAAAATACAACCCTGTCCAGCTTCTGAGTGCCTAAAAGGAAGCACCCTAGGAGGCCACTGAACTGTCCTTTCTATAGCAATGTTTTTAGTCCATATTATGGAATATGGTTACTTCACTAGTTTGAAGGGGGTTGGAAGAAACAGACATTTGAAATCCTACCAGGGAACTAAAAAGACTAAGAGCAAGTCAACCCTAATAAATTAAACTACCTCCAGAAATATTCTTAGTTGCTGCAATGCAACTCTCCAGTCCAGTAAACAGTTAGAAACATCCCCTAGCATGCTTTTGGTTCACAGCATTAGCACAATCCCAAACAGTTCCCAGCTCTAGTTCATAAATGAGAGCATCCCATGAAATTGCTCCCAGCAAGCAGTCTGCACACAGCCACCCAGGCTGGGATGCTTAGAAAACCTGTTCATGAGCTCAGGTAATTTTGTCCCAGTTGACCTCACTGTCCAGGAATGTTCCTGGGCACATTTAATTTATCACCACAAATATAGTCTTAGCATCCTAAAGATCATCCTCAGAGTCCAAGTAGAAGCCTGGATAAATTCAAGAAATTCTGGGCTCTTATGGGTGCTCAGGAACATGGAACTGCTGAAAAACCCCAAGTTTTGGGAACGCGCACAGGGAAGTTGGTAGGAAACCTTAAGAATCTGTAGGAGAAAGCAGTATGAAACTGTTTTGATTGTTTGATATCAACTCCTGATATATTAAAAATACATATAGGATCATACTGCATAAATGGAGGCCTATTAATATACCTGTTTCTGTTCTGTGAGTATACATAACATTTCTCTAGGCTTATCTTCCATACATAAGTGTTGTTTTTATCCAGTGTCATTCACTTCACTGAAAATGATGTGGTAGCCTCATTTGTTCACCTGGATATACGGTCACAACAACTGTATGTGGTCAGTAGCATCTATATGTTAAAACCGCAAAGTATCTTTTTCAGGCTTCATTATTTGTGTATTACATGTGTCTAAGAGACAAAATGACTGGAAAAAAAAATCAAAACCAGTTCAGGATGCAGACTTCAAACAAACTACAAAGATTGTAGATTAATAAAAACAGAAATGAAAGATAAAACTATCTCCTTACTTACATGAGACAGCAGTATCTTTAGTCAAAAGAAAGTTAACACAGCTGTAATCTTATAATTGTTGTTCTCCTCTACTAAAGGAAACTAAAAATGCATTAAGTGACCTCTTTCAAAGTGCTGACTTTCAGTACTCACATTTGAAAAACTCACATGAGAGAAATGGAAAGTCCTTTCCATATTAATGTTTATGATTCATCACTACAGTTTTCTTTCCTGCAACAAAGCTGACAGATCTGCACTATCCAGCAATAAAGAGCCGGAAAAAGATCACAATGTCATAGTTATGCCCCGGGAACTGCATGAAGAGTCTGAGAATTTAAGTCACGCATCTTAATATATGCTGAATAAAAAACAGGCAGCTGATGAAGTCTAAGCTAGTTCAGGAAAGACACCTACCTGTATAAAATTTTTCCAAAAAGATAATAACCAGTATTCTGTACTAGAAAAATACCATGAAAACTTATAAATTCTTTAGTGATGAGTCTAGAAGACAGACATTAAACAAAGGGAAGTATTTCCCAATTTTATTCATTTAGAATTATCCTTCTAGAATTAAGATGTTCCCAATATACATGTGATTAAATCTTATTTTTCAGAACAATGTACAATGCACAGTCTACAAAATGAAAATGAGGGCTGCTGTAACCTTCTCGAAAACATGCATTTTTTCAAAAATTATACTGCCCCATTTTGCAGTACACAACCTTCTGTCAATCAAAACATAAGTTGAAATCAGTTTTAAATACAAGACCTTTACTGAATTTTATCGCTGCAGCAGAAAATTAAATGTTTACCTTTACACTGCATCCCTTGGCGAAAAAGGCCCTTGAGCAGTCGTTTGCAGTACTGGCATATGGTGGGACGAGTGTAAGAGTGAACAGCAAAGGTGTGCGGAACCTTCACTCTGCAAAGCACCATCTTTTCCATCCAGATGGGACGTCCACTCCAGGAGGGAATCCTCTTACTAGGTTCTGGGCAACAACGCTGCAATAAAGAAGGTATGCATGATTTGCACCAGAACAGCCCTACTGCCATTGTATTTGAAAAGTCATGGCAGGCAGGTGAAGTTCCTGGTGACTGGAAAAAGGGAAACATTGCACCCATTTTTAAAAAGGGTAGAAAGAAGGACCCTGGGAACTACCACCCTGTCAGCCTCACCTCTGTGCCTGGGAAGATCATGGAACAGGCCCTCCTAGAAGCTATGCTGAAGCACATGGAGGACAGGGAGGTGATTCAAGACAGCCAGCATGGCTTCTCCAAGGGCAAGTCCTGCCTGACCAACCTAGGGGCCTTCTATGATGGAATGACTACAACGGTGGACAAGGGAAGAGCTACAGATGTCATCTATCTGGATTTCTCTAAGGCCTTTGACATGGTCCCTCACAACATTCTCCTGTCTAAATTGGAGAGATATTGATTTGATGGGCGGACTGTTCAGTGGATGAGAAATTGGTTGGATGGTCGCATCCAGAGGGTAGTGGTCAATGGATCAATGTCCAGATGGAAATCAGTGACAAGTGGTGTCCGTCAGGGCTCTGTATTGGAATTAGTGTTGTTTAATATATTCATCAATAACACAGACAGTGGGATCAAGTTTGCAGATGACACGAAGCTGAGTGGTGCAGTTGACATGCCTGAGGAACAAGATGCCATCCAGAGGAACGTGGACAAACTCAAGAGGTGGACCCACGTGAA